CCTTGTTTTTAAATACTTAACCCAAACTCAGTAACTTTAAATTATAAACCCTTGAAAATCATTTTTTGTGTTTGTGGTATTTTTAGATCATTTAATAAATTGTGGTATTTTTGGAACATTAAGAAATATTGGTATTTTTGGAAACAAACTTCAAAGTGTAATATTCTAAAGAATTCTTCAATTATTTATCATATCTCTATAAAATCAAGACGAAATTTGAAGTTGAATTAGGTATATAAGCCAAAATTTAATTGACGTTATAAAATGTAAGTCAATACTTATATGAAACAGAAAAACATGAATTTGAAACGGGGGAGTATAACTTACGAAGAAAAGCTGCTACTAGTGTCCCAAGTCCAAGGTAGACAAATTTCAAACAAACCTAAAGGAAGAAAAACCAAACAAAAATAAGTAAACCTTTAAAAGTTTGTTTGTTTTTGGGTTCTAATCTTCTTACCTCGGAGACTACCCCAACACTGTCTCCGTTGTTCACATTTCGACCAATCACATCGATGATATCACCAAAAAATAAAGCCATTAACGGAAAGCCAAGACCATTTCCAATAGCTCCAATCGAACCAATGAACATCAACAACACATCGCAAGAATCTGCGAAAGCAACAGTTTATAGAACGGTATGGTCTTTGCCTTCTCTCGGTCTTCTCCTTCTTCATCTCCGTATGTGTGTGAGTCAAACACAGTTAAATCTTGTGAATTCAACACAGTGTGATTTTTTGAATGAGCAGGGCTTGTCTCAAAACTCAATTTAAGATTTAAGATTTTCGGCTAGATTGTCTTAGGGAAATGAAATAATCATATAAACATTTAAAATTTTAAAAGAATCATATAAACATTTAAAATTTTGCGTTTACGAACTAGTTTTTATTAATAAAAGAATCAAGAAGGGATTAATTATTTTGAAGATGCTGTTATTCGGTGACATAAACAAAGATTAAGAGACAAAAGCGTGGGATGTTTATACTGTTTTTTTTTCCCTAACAAGAACGACGACTTCATACCAAAAAAAAAAAACAAAGACGATTGGTTGTTGTTCGTCATAGCTTGCATGTAATATTTCTTAAAACTACTATTGTATGTAATGTTTAACGACCCTAATATCAATAATAATTGTGTCATGGGGTCTACTAAGTTCTGCATTTCCTCAACTCAGTCGTGTATTCCATTATTGTCTATTTAAGCCTTAAACAGGAATAAATAATTTTTGTGGGCCTTAAACATGCAAATTAGTCGAAAAAACAATGCTAATTGAGGTACAATACAACTCCACGCAAGATAATCCGNTACTTACTTAATCAGAATGTTTATATGACTACAAAAGATTTGGTAACAGATATAACATGGGAAAGTAGTTGGATTGGATTTCTTTGAGAACATTGTAGCACAAAGACTATAAAACTTTTCAAAATGAACTTGATCTAATATTTCCCCTAAAACGAAATGGCTTTCTTCGTTGTGCTATATCAATCTGGTATCAAATAATTTTTTTACTTGTCTTGTGAATGGATCAAATAATTTTTCTTTATATAATTTTTTGTGAAATATCCTAAATCGTATCAACCATGTGAAATGATGGTTGATGAGTGATGAGTATTTGATGCTACATTAACGGCGTTAACGTTGACAGGCGGTTGATATCGGAAACTCTGTTATCTCGCCGTTAATTAAATATTTCTATCGAACACTAAAGAGC